TTTTTTTCTTTCTCCTCCCCCATGCAAATCACACTTTGCCTGGGCCAGCCTCATGCTCAAGATGTCCAGCTGTGTGTTGAGACAGGATCTTGCTATGTAGCCCTGGCTGGCCTGGAATTTGCTATCTGCATAGGCTGGTCTCAGATGCTGCAGTCACAGGCATGTGCCACCAGGTGTGTGTGTGCATGTGACTTGGAAATGAGGGCTGACATCGGTTCAAACGGACTGGGCATAGGCCAGCTTGTCACTCAGCGCTGTGCTGCCACTGAAGTAGCCTGCTCACCTCGCAGCCTCTACGTTTGCCTCTCGCGTGTCTATGCTAAGGGCTTCCCTGGCTAGCAGCACCATCTGTCTGTACTGTCGGAAGGCTGGGGGTGGCAGGGAGTGAAAGCACTGTCAACAGTTCTTGGTTCAGGGCATTGGGAACTGGTGGATGGCACTGCAGAGTCCTCACCTCTCCGTGGGAAACTAAGCCATGTTTCTCACGGTGTGTCAAGAGTTCGCAGTGACTCTTAGCTCTTGTTTGTGCATGGGTCTTTTGACACAGGCTTGACTGCCTGTCCCTTACTCCCATCTCATTTCTCCATCCCCCTCATCGATGCTTCCTATGAAGCCCTCTGTATAAACTGCTTGCAGTAGGATTCTTATCTCAGAGTCTGCTCCTGGGGCCCCATCCAGAGACAGGTGGCCCTGTGTGACATGAAGTCCCCGTCACTGCAGGGACAGGGGCTACGTGCAACGTCTTCTCCATAGTAGGGCTTCTTATGCTTTGTCCACTGGTAACTCTTTTTGCTGGAGGAATTTTTATATAACTTTGGCATATAAAAATAAGGACCCAGATCAAACAGGTGCTGATAACAAATAACACTGCTTACGTTTATTTAAAAACAGTTCTTGAGGACTGTGAAAGGGCTCTGTGGGTTGAGACACACGTCGAGTTGACAACCTGGGCTCAACTCCTGGAACCCTCAGGATGGAAAGAGAGAACTGACTCTGAAATTTGTTCTCTGACCCACAAATACTGAGCAAACAAACAATTCGTTCCTAATTGTGGTTCATATACACAATGGTAATAAATATCAGCTATAAGAAAAAAATGAAATTCGAGGCACACACCTTTCATTGCAGCACTGGGGAGGCAGAGGCAGGTGGATCTCTGTGAGTTTGGGGCTAGCCTCGTCTACAGTGAGTTCCAGGACAGCTGGGACTACATAAAGAGACTGTGTCTCAAACCAAACAGAACAAAGTGAAACAAAAAGAAAGCAGTCATGTTGTTTGCAGGAAATGTATGTAACTGACCATAATCGTTTTACATGAACAAAGGCAGCCCGACAAAGACAAAGAGTGCATGTTTCCTGTACTATATGGATCCTAGATTTTATATAGATGTGTAAAATTGTGAATGTTTACATGTCATGAATGTAGCAAACCATCTAGGGGAGAGGGGGAACTAAGGGGGAAGGTCATGTGTGAGGAAGGGGAGGGAGGGACTTGGAAAGAGATATGCACAGTGCATAACACACACGTCTTTATGTGGCGCAGCACCATGCGTCATGACTACTAACTGTGGGAATTAAACACACAGCCAAGTTCTCTCCTTTGCATATAATTTGACTATTTATTAAAGGCAGAAGCAAATTTGCATACTATTGAAATTGATGTACTTGTTTATTTTTGCATGAAGATTTAAATCTTGGCTGGATATTTGATAATGCAGGATGTAGAGTGTCTTCATACACTTTGTAGAGTTGATCAATATTTTGATTTTTATAATCATCAGTGCTGAGGCTGCCACTTCATATAAATGCATACATAGCACAAAATCGAAGAAAAGTATGTTTAGGGCTATTTCAGAAATTGTTGGAAAATCCGTCCAAATTTCAATCCAAAAGCTATGATTAAAAAAAATGAAACTCAAGATAGCAACTCAAACAGCAATTTTAAAATCAAACATCATAGCAATGCAGTTCAAAGACACACTGATTTGCTAAATGCTAAGGAACGATGGTAGGAAAATATTAAGTATTTGTTTTCAAACCAAAGATGTATGAAAAACCCACATGGAAGCCTACTAATTTGCAAGTTAATTAAGTATAATATAGAATGCAATAAAATATAACAATAAAACAATTTGAATTGAGGTACCCTACTGGGTGGACAATGCTGCTCCCAGAAGCCACAGAGTATTAAACACAGAGTATTAAACACAGAGTATTAAACACAGAGTATTAAACACAGAGTATTAAACACAGAGTATTAAACACAGAGTATTATTAAACACAGAGTATTAAACACAGAGTATTATTAAACACAGAGTATTATTAAACACAGAGTATTAAACACAGAGTATTATTAAACACAGAGTATTTATTAAACACAGAGTATTAAACACAGAGTATTAAACACAGAGTATTAAACACAGAGTATTAAACACAGAGTATTAAACACAGAGTATTAAACACAGAGTATTAAACACAGAGTATTAAACACAGAGTATTATTAAACACAGAGTATTAAACACAGAGTATTATTAAACACAGAGTATTTATTAAACACAGAGTATTAAACACAGAGTATTAAACACAGAGTATTAAACACAGAGTATTAAACACAGAGTATTAAACACAGAGTATTAAACACAGAGTATTAAACAAAAAGCTCAGTGGGTCACACACACACAAAAAGACAAAAACAAAAACAAAAAACAAAACAAAAACCAAAAAGCTCCCCCCAACCCCCCCCAAAATCTTCCCAAAAAACAAACAAACCACCAAACCTAGCTAAGACTAGGCAGTCAGGCTTTCTGGCAAGATGACAGGATGCTGGGATCAAACTTAGGGCTTTGTCCCAGCCAACCCACACCCCAGCCCGGAATGAACGTTTTGTTGTTGCTTTTTCACATATATCCCAAGGTTGCCACAGTGTTCAGGATCTCTATATTCAGTTAGGGAGGATCAGTTTAAGAAGCTGGGTTGCTCAGTATTTTGTTGAACAGCTGGGCAGCTCCAAGCCAATGGGCAGAGAACCACATTTCAGTGTAGTGAACCCCTGCTCCGATCCCAGCTCTGCCTCTTGAATACCTGTGAACGCTCGGACACTGTGATGGTAAATTTGACAGTCACTTGCTAGGATTTGGGACCAAGGACGTCATACACTTTCTGGGTGGGTCTGTGAAGTCATTTCCAGGAGTGATTAACCTATCACTCAAGAGTGAGAGGCACGGAGCAGCAGCCCAGATATAAGGGTTTCTGAGTAAAACACAGTATTTTATGCTGATCCTTGGCTCTTGGGGTGACTGTAGCATCCGTGCATTGCTGCTGCCACCATCCTTTGCTGACTTGAGAATCCAGCTTCTTAGACTTCTAACACGCACTAAAGACTGGCTGCTCTCCCGGAATGCTCCGGGCGTCCTCCAGCGTTAGACGGGGGGGGGGTGTCTCAGTCTCATCAGCCTTTATCCGATAGTCTCCTGTGAGCCAGCCCAGCAAATCCCCCTTTATTTCAATCACTGTATCGGTTCTGTTTCTCTAGAACTTAGCCATGCTACATCCCCGTGTTCCCATCTGTAAAATGGGAGGACTCATCTCTCTCCCATAGGGCCAGAGTTAGGCTCAAAATACCAATGCTTTTAAACCTGAAAGGACTCTGTAAGCCGCTAGGCCATGTGCAGCGTCCTTCCTTTGCAACGCGAGTGTTAAGCGTTGGTGTTAGCTCAGAAGGCTCTGACGGTGCAGCCTTGGTCCCTGGCAGGCGCTATTTAGAAGTGACTGGATCCTAAACGTGCAGAACCATCTCTCTGGAAGTAGCTGAAACAGAGAGCTACCCAGTCGTGTATCTATGCAGGGGCAGAGGCGATTGGGGAGAACAGAGACCACGTGGTCTGCAGAGCTGAAATAGTTACTACTTTTACAGAAAACATTTCTGGACTTCCGTTTTACTACATTAGGTCCTTTATTCTCGACTCCATTATACCAGATGAGGCACTGGGACACAGAGAAGTTAAGTTGTTTGTCTGAGGTCACACAACAGACCTGTGACCAGCACTCTGTTTGTAACTGGTTCTGAGGCCAGACTTCAATCGTTTTACTTCACTTTCCTCCCAGTTCGGTCCTCGAGATTCACTTCTGAAGCTTAATTCACATTTTCTGTAGGGCGAAGAACAAAGGCACTGTTACAGCGGGAGTATGAGCAGGTGTCACAATATTTTCCGTGGCACCAGAGATGTGCTTCAGGAGGGAAATACCAGAATTTTCAATATTTCACTTTGTGGTGACCACATAATGGGGACTTTGGCAGCTAGCCCCAAACGGTGGGTCTGCAGAGACTGGCTGTCATGGCAGCAGCGCACAGTTAGGTGGGTCTTGCTATAACGCTTGCAGCAAGGGCGGGCTAAACATCATGGTAGATGCCAAGTGCTGGGGACCGGATCTGAGTAAGGTTGATGCAAATGTTTGCCTTTTTGTATCAATGGATGGAAAAATTGCCTGGCATGGTGGCTTATGCTTGTAATCCCAGCACTTGGGAGGCTGAGGCAGTAGAATTGGCTGAAGTCCCTGGTCAATCTGTGTTAAAGGTGCAGATCCCAGGGGCCTGCCCAGAAAGCAGTCTTCAGATTCTTGTGTTGCATGATAAAGAATTGGACCCTTGGCTAGAAATGGAGTCTATTTACAAGACAATCATCTCTCCTTTCTCCAGTACTGAGGATGGAACCCAGCACCCCCCCTCCCCACACACAGTGGTTCCCTGTTGGGGAAGTCCTGTGTATATGTCAATAAATTACTGCTGGCCAATAGGAATCTAGATAGGTGGGGCTAGGAGTCCAGGAGGATTCTGGGAAGGAGAAACACAAGAGAGTCAACATGTAACCGCCATGGGGTAGGAGCCCAGAACTATTCTCCGGTAAGAGACATACTTAGATTAACAATTATGGGGTAATTACTTAAAGCAGAGCTAGCCAGTAAGAGACAAGCAAGGCCAACAGCTTAATAATTAATATAGCCTCCTGTGTGTTTATTTGGGACTGATGCGGATCTGGAACCAGGCGGGCGAGAAGGCTCCTCTCAAGGAAATCTTCTCTTAACAGTTCCCGACTGTCCTAATGCTCCAGTGATGTCCTGTCTCTACTCCCCAAAGCACTGGGGTTACAAGCTTGTGAGCAGCCATGCCCAACTTTTCATGTGATTGCTGAAGATTAAAACTCAAGTCCTCACACATGTGCAGCAAGCATTCTTGCCCACGAAGCCACCTCCCCAGACTAAGAGATGATTATCTTGTCATTTGCAACACAGCGGATGAGTCTGAAGGTCTAGTGTTCAGTAGGATAAGCCAGGTGCAGACATGACTGTGGACTCATTCACTCATGGCCATCATCCTGCCTCTGCTTCCTGAGAGTCACTCATTTGTGGGATCTAAAACAAACAAGCTCACTGAAGCAGGAGATACCAGAAGCTGGTGATGGCGTTAAGGATGGAATGTGGAGAGAATTACAGGAAGAAGAAATGAATTTGAATCCTCAGTTGCACAGGTGGGTGACAATAGTTAACTACTTTGTATTGCATATTTCCTATAATTAGAAGAAAAGCTTTTCATTTATTTCGATTTATAAACATGTGTTGTGTGTCTATGATTGCACGTATGTCTTTATGTATGTGAGTACGCTTGCCACATGTATAGGTCAGAGGACAACTTGTGGGAGTTGGTTCTCTCCTTGTATCATGGGAGCTCCAGACACCAAAACCAGTTGTCAGGCTTGGCCACCGTTTCCATGGTCCAGAAGAGAGGATTTTGAATGCGCTCACAGAAAGAGATGATACATGTTCAAGTTGATGGATATGCCTACTTTATTTGATCATTACATAATATGTGTATAATAGCACACCATATCCCATGTAACCGAAGTGCTGTGGATGGGGGAGACAGCAGGACTGCTGGGGCTTGCTGGCCTTCAGCATAGCTCCAGGTTCAGTGAGAGATTCTGTCTCAAGGTAGTAACACAGAGAGTAATAAAGCTGGGCACCTGATGACCCCCTTTAGCTTCTAAATACACATGATTGTACCAACACACACACACACACAATTAAAAAACCGAGCACATGCTAAATAAGAAGTTAAAAAGGATCTTGAACTAGGCGATGGTGGTTGTGTGCACCTTTAATGCCAGCACTTGGGAGGCAGAAGCAGGCAGATCTCAGTGTGTGAGAGGCCAGCCTGGTTTACATAGTGAGTTAAAAAAAAAAACAAGAAAAAAAAGATCTTGAGACAAGAGCATCTGGATGGGACTTGATCCAATGACTGTCATTTTTTACAGGAAGAAGAGGTGATTCGGAGAGGAGGCAGTCACAAGACAGTGGAGGCAGAAGCTCTTACAAACCAAGAACAATGGTTTTGACAGAGCCCAGAAGCTGGGAGACATGTCTGTGACACAGTCTCCCTTACTCCCAGAGGAGCCCAGCCCACTGTCAACTTGACATCAGCCTCTGACCTCCAGATGGTGAGAGAGTAAGTCTCAGTCACCATAATCTCCTTCACTTCTGGTAGTTTGTAATACATCTTGCAGGAAGCTGATATGGCACCCCAGTGGGTGGTATAGCTTTTCTTTAAATCCACTTCTTGTTCTAACCAGGGGAACCCTCAATGTTTGATTTTGCTGATTGGATTAAGGGACAAAGTAAACTGCTGCTGGATTAAGTGGCACTATTTTGAATGTGTCTGATGAATGCTTTTCCTCAGAGGATGAATTGAGAGGCCAAGATCATGCCTGAATGTGGGCAGCAGCAGCCTGTGGTTTTGGGCCCCAGAATGAATGCAAAACAAAAAGGAGAAAGCAGACTGGTAAAAGCTGGCCACATGCCTCTCTCTGTATCTTGATCAGCTGAGACATGAGCAAGCAGCCTCTATCACTATGGACAAGCAAGGCCCATCCCTGCTACGATGGACTGATGGACTGTGACCTCTGAACTAAAACTTTCACTCCCTTAAAGTTCATCTCTTCCAGCATTGGGTCGCAGTTATGAGAGGAGTGACTAACACACCTACGACCTCCCTTCCCCTTTCTTCTGGCTTTCTCCTTCCCCATTTTCTCCTCCATCTTTGATTTCATCCTCCCCTTTTATTTCCCCCTCCCTCCCTTTCTACTTCCCTTCAACTTGGGACTGTGGGAAGGGCTTGTAGCCACAGGAGCAGAGCCAGGACTGACTCTGGCATCCATGTTTCTCTTTAATAATGCAGCTGTGGCAATAGTGTGGTGACAGAGGGGGTGTAGTAGGGAGAGAAGACCCAGATCTCAGCTCCAGACCCCCACTTAGCCCCCACTGGGAAGCTCATCTTCTCTGAGAGGTGCTTTCTTCTCTGCAAAAGACACAGGACAAAGAGGAAAGAACCCTGTGTCCATTTTCCCTGTTGGGAGTAAGCGAGGTGATTCTTATGCAGACGTTTTGTAAATGGGAAATCCTGCAAGGATTCTGATGGCTGCTATTAGACTCCATTATGTGAAATGGCTGGCATTAGACCATTTTCAACCAACAAAAATAGCAATTTCAATATGCTTTATATCCTTTTATCCACAGGGAATGTTTCAAAACGGTCGGTTGGTGCTGGAGCTGGTGACCACATCAAACTGCATATTTTTATGAAGGCTCTCACCAAGGATAATGTTCAATTTATGACTCTGACACAGCAAATGTGAGCATTAACTAATAAGATGATAGAACAATTATAAACTATGTTATAATGATTAAAATTTATGAGTTTTGTATTTCTGGAAACTTCCATTTAATATATTTTAAAAAGCTGGGTGGTGGTGGCACACATATTTAATCCCAGCACTTGGGAGACAGAGGTTAGTTTGGTCTACAAAGTGAGTTCCAGGATAGCCAGGACTGCAGAGAAACTCTGTATCAAAAATTTAAAAATTTTTTTATTTGTTTGTGTGTGTATATGCATATGCACACATGAGTGCAGATACCCTTGAAGGCCAGAAGAGGGCATTGCATCCCTTGTAGATGGAGTTATAGAGAGTTGCGAGTTGCCTGGAATGTATTCTAGGACCCTAACTCTGGTTCTCCGGAAGCTCAGCAGTGTTCTTATCCATTGAGCCATTTCTCCAGCCTGTTATTTAGTATTTTTGGGTCAAAGATGCTGGTGTATATACAATATATACAGACGGTAAGTACATCAACAATATCTAGTTCATTTGCATTTGACAAATTCAGGGAAAACACTCCATTATCTATTCTATCTTGGCGAGTCTAAAGTCTTGAACCTAATTTACTTTCTATTCTAATTTGCATTATCTAATTATCTTTTAATATCCCTCAACCTTTGAGTCTGGTAAACAAGGAAAACTATAACTATCTAGTCTTCACCTCCCTCAGAGACCCAGGAAGGAAATAATAATGTTTGACCTTGAAAACATACCTAATATGACTACAAGTTCAGTTGTAATAGTTTACTCGTTACTAACCTGAATTTCCTTATTATTCTATATAGCTGGTATTAATAACTTTCAAGGACTAGAAATTTGCATTACATTGATGAGTAAGCTATATAGGTACAATACCTTGAGCACTATTAGATATGTATGTATGTTTTAACAAAATTAATCTCAATTTTGTATCAATATACAGAATTTGTACATAATATACAAAAGTCCAATTCAATGTAAAATATTTAAAACTAATAGTTGCTTTTTAGAAGCAGATTCAATAATATACTTTTTTTCACTTATATCTATATCCTCCCTTTTTCTTTTTCAGAGTAGAGTCAATGATTTATCCCTTTATCCTATCATATCTGTATTCCCTTTTTTCATTTCAAAACAAGAACCTTGAATCTAATCTCCTTTATTTAGCTTTTTCCCTGACTATTACCAATAACAATTTGTAACCAATTCCCCTAAACAATGACAAATATCCATAACCTATTGAATGACCAAAAACCATCTGCCCCACATCTTGGGAATGTGGAAGTCATGTTCTTAAAGTTACTTCCTGCTGTTTGGGGGTGAAGGCATCTCTAGTGGATCCTGAAAAGAAAACTTTGGGTTAATCGTCAAGTCCTGGGAGAGGTAACTGTTTCTTTTGTTGTCCAGTGTCTGCATAATAGGAAAGTGCAGGGGTTGTCTCAGACCTGGCTAGAGTAGTCTGTGAGGCTGGATCACCTCAGCCAGTCACCTAGAAATTGTTGTGAGCAGTGTCTGTGAGACTGGATCATCTCAGCAGGCCTCCTTGAAATTGTTCTGTTCAGTGTAGTTCAAAGCAGATCTTTAGTTGGTGCCATCAGCCTAACAGTGCTATTCCAGTCCCAGTGGAATTGTCATCTGTGGGATTCCATATTCTTTTTCTTCTTCTTTTTTTTTTCTGAGACAGGGTTTCTCTGTGTTAACAGTCCTGGCTGTCCTGAAACTTACTTTGTAGACCAGGTGGCCTCAAACTCATTGAGGACCATTGCCTCTGCCTCCCAAGTGGTGGTATTAAAGGCATATACCACCACCACCTGGCTTGGATTCTATTTTCTTTTTGGAGACTTCAGAGATTGTATTAGGTCAAATTATTTCTTTCCTTGGTAATTTTTTCCAGGTAGTTCTCCCTTCTTTTTTAGATGCTTATTTGTCTAAAGGTCTTAAGTTCTTCAAGATGTTTGCTTTTATTTTCCTGAAAAGACAGAAACAAAACCCTTCCCCAACCCTAACTTTGGGGAGGTTCCTAATCTAATCTTTATCAACTTTTATTTATGGTTTCTCTAGAAATTTTTGTTTTATCTTCTATAACTCTTCTATCATTCAGACCAGTATTTTTTTCTTACAATAGGCATTAGGCTATTGGAAGGAGTTTCCTCCATGATGATAGGAAATTACTGGACAGAATTTGTCATAGGGGTCTTTGAGAGGCTCCTCAAGGCATTTCCCAAAGGTAAAGGATTACCTTGAATGTCTTTTGTTGACCTATATTCTTTAGTCCAATGCCTTCCTTTGTGAGGGGCCTCCGCCATAAAAACAATCTGGCAGCTTCATGTCCTCAGAGAAGACATGACTCCAAGACCACCCTGCTATCTCTTTTTGACATAAAGCAAATTCCAAGAAACAGGCCTGTGGTTCATTTGTCAGTTAAAGATTAGCTTAATTGGAAAACTACAAAGTCCTCAGGAGATAGGCCTGAGCAATAGTAAATTGTAATAGATAGGATCAGACCCTGCTGTCAGGTTAATAAGCAACACAGGAGGTTCTACCCCTGACCTCTTGCCCTGCAGATTAGGTTACCAGGCAACACAGGAGGCCACCTCTCCCTCTGACCTCTTGCCCTGCCAGCGTCCTTGCAGCTGCAGTACACCCTCATCCCTTCCCCTCCTCTCTTCCCCTATATAAATCCCTCTGAGATGAATAAAGGTTGTCACCTTGATCAGACTCCTGTCTTGGTGTCCTTTCCCATATCTCTCGTCCCCCATCTTTCTCCTAGGTGTCCTCAGGTCCCCACGTTGAATGTCCCCTGGGTCGGGGCATGCCTTTGCCACACATTCTGTATACTCCATAAGGGAGGAGTGCCCTGTTTGAATTATGTTTATAAAAAACATTGTTTCTAAAATGTCCTGTTTATAATACCTTTAGAGGTTTTGATTGTTTTTCACAATTAAAACATTTAACATTTTGATTTTTCTTCAAACCTGTTGAAATCACCTCTCTTATCCATGCATCATCATGGCCATGCGCTTCAATATTAATTGTTCCAAAGAAACTGACCTTGCCTTTGAAGGCCTAATTATCTTTTTACATTGAGAATTAACATTTTCAAAAGCCATAGTTTCAATTATTATTTTTATAGCTTCTGATATCATTCTATTTACTGCTGAAATCAGTCTTTTTAAGAAATCCATGAAGGCTTCTTTTGGGTCTTGTATGACTTTTGTAAATGATTCAATTTTCTTTCCTACTCCAGTTCTGTCCCAAGCATTCAAAGCTGCTGCACAGCATAAAGTCAAGAGGTGATCATCATATAGACACTGCCTTTATAAAGTAGCATAATCTCCTTCTCCAATAAGTTAATCTTGGGAGATATCCATACCCTTGGCTTTACCCCATTGTTCAATAGTCTCAGCCTCTTCTCTGAACCAGGTACTCCATTATAATTGTGATCCAGACTCTAAGATGGCTTTAATCAAATCTATCCAGTCTTTAGGGGTAATTTGGTTGCAAACTGACCATGTGTTTAACATCTGCTTTACAAATGTGAATGCATGCCATATGAGACTACCGCTTCCTTGAATTTCCCTAAATCTAACATTGTTACAGGCATCCAGTTAGCTCTTATAGGACCTCTATCATTTGGCACTTCCTGGAAATATTAAGGTTGGTTTTCTTAAGACTTTAGACTGTTTCTTTCTAGCCTTATAATGCAATGCTGAATTGGTTCTCCATTAAATCCCTCAGTTTGGGTTTGAATATCTCTATGATCTGATTTCTTAAGTTTTTCTAAAGCCTGCGTCTTGGCACTTATATCAATCAACTTTTAAAGAGATAAACCAAAATTATCAAAATGACAACAGTATGTCAATCCCAGTTAAGTTGATTATCCTTTCATTTAATTGTTCCACTTTTAATCATGCATTGCATAATCATACAGAGAATTAACTGTCTCCATTGTAAATATGTTTCACATTTTTAAGTGGGGGAAAAACTCTCTTTCTAAACTAATTCCTTCCTTTAAGAATTCCTGATAGTCTTACCAAATCTGCAGACACTGTCAGTGAGCTGTGAGGCATAGCGTGTCTGAATGGGAGAACTAACTTGTGACTGTGAGCTGAGGATGTCAGCCCAAGGAGAGGGACTGTAGGGAAAGCTCACAGCCCATGGGGGTGGGGTATGTGAGAGAGAGAGAGAGAGAGAGAGAGAGAGAGAGAGAGAGAGAGAGAGAGAGAGAGGGAGAGAGACAGGGACAGAGAGGCAGAGAGACAGAGAGACAGAGAGAGACAGAGAGAGATCCATCTGAAAAATGCACACAGGATTGTTAGGAAGAAAAACATGTGGCAGGTGCAGCCTGAAGGCAAAGTCAGGCAGTCTAGGGTGGATAAGTCCTGTGGCATTTGGAGCTGGGTGATTCAGGTGTTTAGGTGGCAGCTAAAGAGATGCTACAGCAGGCAAATCCCAAACTCATTCAAAGACTTGGGTAAAACAAAAGAAAACCTAGCCAACTGGGCAGGGGTGCTACTGGGAGCCCTGTGTGTAGCTCCAGTCTGGGCTGGAGGCTTCACTAGCAAATGGCTTTTTTGTGAATATGTACCTTAGCCTTGGGTGCCAGTTGTAACACAAATAATATAAATCCAGAGACTAGATTTTGTGGTTCAAGCTGAAGATCAGAAAAGCAAAGCAGCCAAGCCACTACCTCAGACTGAAATGGGTGATCCTGATTCCATGAATCCTCAGAGTACAATGCTCTCCTTTTCTGGAAACTAAATCTCACATGAGACCCTTTGTTCTTTCCTTTTATACCTCTCTAGTGCTGGGATTAAAGGCCTGAGCTCTATTCTTTTAGACTCTTGTGTAGCCCTGGTGACCTTGAACTCACAGAGATTTATCTGCCTATCTCCTGAGTCCTGGGATTAAATTTTTGTGCCACCACTGCCTGGCTTCTATGGCTGTCTAGTGTGGCTGGCTTTGCATTTTGAGCCCCTGGCAAACTTTTTAAAATCATAAAGAATATATCACTA